ATGTGTAGCACTACTTCCAAAGCAGCAGCTGGAAATGTCAGGTTGTAAATAAAGCAGTTATATGGCACTCGGTAGGCTGGGGTGGCAGATCGGGTAATAAATGGCTACTAGAGTCTAATAATGGTTCTATAAAGAAATAGTCCTAAAAAGGTCAAATCAAATGGTGGGTGTACAAGTCATTCAAAACTCCATTATAGCATGGCTGCAGATCCCTGGAAGAGGATTGGTACAGCAGAGTGGCAACAGTACGGAGAGTGCGGTCGGTGGGGAGCTGGATCCAAAACAAAGATGTAGGAGACTTCCAATGGATGAGACAGAATGTGTGGGGGAGTGGATAAGCATTTGGATGCAACAAGGACTGCCCCTTTTTCAAACCAAAGGACAGTCCTTGTTGCCTCGAAACATGTGATCAAGGTGAATACAACTATTGTTTGTCCTCTTTGCCATCTGTGAGAGGTCCTGCCACAAAATCGCTCGGTTAGTAGAGAACGACATGGTATGCAGCAGTAAACAACACTCAATGCAACAATGTAATCAATGAAATGTCATGAAGCCTTTTAAGTAGGTTTATCCTTTGTTCCCCCACAATGTCCCACCTGTTGATCCTGCCATGCAGCTTCCTCTAATGTTAAGAAAATTATGCTGCACTGCTCCTGAATTCAGAACTAAGCTGTCACTCTTGTGTGGGCTGTGTCTGCTTGCACTACAGTGGAATGAAAAGGCAAATGCATCATATAGTAATTGGATTTGGGATATGCAACTTCAAGACCGCAATACATATTTATAAGTTGTGGTTTTGAAGTGGTTTACCGGGACCATGGTTGCAGCTGTCAGCCATAACCCTGTGTTTTTTTTCTGCTGGCATTTCTACTTCTGGTAAAAGTAATCTGAGCAGGTGATTAGATGCTGGATCACTTTTAGAAGCAGTGGGAGGGTTTGCCCCCACCGCTCTCCGGGGTTTTTTGGGCTTACCTGTCTCACTGGGGAGCTTGGAATTCAATTCGGTGACTCATGCAGCTGGCCATAGAGGTGATCAGAGACCGGAATGTCTCTGATCATCTCTATGCTCTAGGACAGTCTCCAAACTGCAGCACTAATTATGGAGCACCATTCCCCCTACTGACACCATCAATGGGGCATTATACTTATCACTGATATCAACAATGAATCACCATTGGACATCAACAATCGAGCACTGTTCTTCTCACTGATATAAACAATGAGGCACGAATTCCTCCTATTAAAACCAATGATGGGGCACTGATGCCGGGGCATTTTCTACTCCCACTGGCTACAGTCTAGCTCCCCTAAAATCTAAAGTGCATTAAAGTGGTCCTTTGCTTAGAAAGTTTGGAGACTCCTGGTAGTAATGGAATGACGCCACTTCCGATTTAGGGCAGATGTAAACACTGCCATTTTTTTTTGGGGGGGGGAGCTTTAGATCAATGTTTTTTCTTTTATCTGATTCTTTCCAGGACCTCAGATGTCTCTATAAAAAGCAGCTGTCCCATACTTTCCAACTTTCTCAGTATATATTACCCTGTCCCTTGAAGTCTTTGTCCCAGGCTATGTCCCCATATCTCAGTGGGAAGTGTTGCCACTTATGCTGTCCAGCTCTGCCCTATTGCAGTGTTTAGATGACTTATGTAAATAACCGGCATTCATATGTAAATAGTGGCAGTATTCATATGTAAAGAGGGCTGGCAATGTGGCATTTATATGTAACTTGGGGTCAGTGTTGAAATCTTCCTTAAAGTGATGGTCCATGTAGAAGCCCCCCTTAAGTTGGTGGTCAGTGTAAATTGCCCCTTACAATGGCGGCCAGCGTAGAAATGTATTGGTTGTTGGTGTAAAATTCTCCATTGCATTGGTTGTCAGTATAAATTTTTCATTACATTGGTGGTCAGTGCAAATTTCCCATTACATCAGTGGTCAGTGTAAATTTCCCTTTACATTGGTGGTAAGAGCACAATTGCTCTTACACTGGTGGTCAATGTAAATCCCCCCCTTACATTGGTCATCCGTGAAATCCCCCCTAACATTGGTGGTCGGTGTAGAAATGTCACCACCCATCCCCATCCAGCACTGCCACTGATCCCATCTACCCCAAGCACTTCCACTCATCCCATTCCCCCAAGTAATGCCACAGATTCCATCCTCCACCAGCACTGTCACTCATCCCATCCCCCCAGCACTACCACTTATCCCATCCCCCCAGCACTACCACTTATCCCCCCACCACCACTGCCACTGATCCCATAGTAATAATGTGCTGTAACCTCTAGCAACCAATCAGTGAGCAATAATGATGCACAGTAACCTCTAGCAACCAATCAGTGAACAGTAGTGATCTGCTGTAATCTTTAGCAACCAATCAGTGAGCAATAATGTTGTGCTGTAACCTCTAGTAACCAATCAGTTTTCAGTGATAATGTACAGTAACTTCTAGCAACCAATAAGTAAGAAGTAATTATGTGCATCAACTTCTAGAAACCAGTCAGTGAGCATCAATTATGTACAGTAACCTCTAGCAATTGATCAACTGTGTGGTAAGGATGTGCAGTAACCTCTAGCAACCAATGTTTGAGTGATAATGATGTACAGTAACCTCTAGCAACCGATCAACTGTGTGGTAAGGATATGCAGTAACCTCTATCAACCAATCAGCAAGCAGAAATCATGTGCTGTAACCTCTAGCAACTAATCAGTGAGCCTTAATGTATGCTGTAATCTCTAGCAACTAATTGCAATCGCTACCTGATCTGCTGCAGTAAACTCATTTTGAGTCTAGCTGCTATTTATTGTATGTCTCAGAGCAGGCAGAGAGTGAATTTGCATGGGGGTTCGGGGGCCCAAGAAAAAGTTTGCACAGGGTCCAATCAATATTAAAGATGGCCCTGCCCCTGCTCCATGGTTCCCGAGCACTGTCAGGATGGTGAACGGGAAGAAACCAAGGAACATCCATTCCTCGATCTGCTCTGCAGTAATTGGATCTGGAGGTACTCAGATCTGCACATTTCCAGTTTCAGAGCTGTCATTCAACCAGGGAAGCAACTAATCAAGCACAATCTTAGCTTGTAAAGTAAAAAAATCTAATTATAATAAAATGTAGTACTACTAATAAAAGAAAAACCTAACCCCATCAACCCTGAACAGATACCCAAATGAAAATGCTAGCTCAGGTGTGCACATGTATGTAGACCACAATTTCAGCACGCATGTGATATGTAGCTGTGAACGTTGTGTAAAAGCAATAATTCTAGGGCCAAAATTAACATTGCATTTCCGTGCAATGCATTCATTTAAATGAAATGGCTAACGTGCCAAAAAAGATGCATGTACCATTTCTTGCAAAGTTGCTCATGGAGCATTGAACTCATTTAAAAATATCCATCAGCAATCCATCAACACTGTTTATTGTGGATGGAGGAATTGATTGATTTGAAAACTAAACATGCAGAGCTAGCTTTACAGTTGGTAATATATGATAAATGTAAGGTAATGATTTAATTACACAGTGACTAGCTGTAGCTGTCAGCAATATATAATTATAGTGTAACCTTGCAGCAGCAGCATACCTAAGCAAAAAGAAAAGTGGCTGCCTATTAACTCTTGATTAACCCCTGGTTACCTCTAAATTGCCCTAAGTAACTCACTCCTCTCCTTTTAGGGTTTTTTTTTTTTTTTTTTGCTTACTGTTAACATGGAAACATTTATGCTGTTCACATGGAAAATACACACTTAAAAAAAAAATACCTTTTTTTCATTACTAAATACCTTCACCAACAAAATTTGTACTTTGTATTTATAGTAACACTAGTTGCTTTAACACTATCACATAAAAAATAGAAACATGTAATGCAATCCCAACCATGGCACAACCTGCCTGGAGTTTGCATGTTCTCCCTGTGCCTGCGTGGTTTTCCTTCGGATACTCCGGTTTCCTCCCACACTCCAAAGACATGCTGGTAGGTTAATTGGATCCTGTGTAAATTGGCCCTAGTATGTGTATGTATGAATGTGAGTTAGGGACCTTAGATTGTACACCCCTTGAGGGTTAGGGACTGATGTGAATGTACAATATATGTATGCAGAGCGCTGCATAAGTTGACGGCGCTATATTAGTACCTGTAAGAATCTAAATGCCGTTGCTATTTCACTTTTTGCCAGCATGTGTCACTCTTGTTTCAGGAATGCCAGGATTTTACGATCCTGGATACGCAGAAGATTGTAAAGACTGGAGCCTTTCTTCAAAGTGCCTTTTAAATTACTGTATTTTTGTTTGTTTTTTTGTTACTTTTACACTATATCAACTCTTGATCATAAATATTTTTCATGTATTCAATTTTCTACATACCGAAGTCTCTGTTCTTTTGCTGAAAATAAAGTTTCACAGTCTGTGCATTTAATTTGTGAGTTCCATGTGAAAAAGATTTCCTGCAAGACCTAAAACTTGTGGAGACATAACCCAGAGGAGTCATAAAAATACCAAGATGTTTTATAGCTTTAAAACACATTTTGGATGGAAAAGAACATAAGACTGGGGATAAGGTTCAGGTGCTACCACAGGTTCAAGGTGAATCCTGCAGGTTCACAATTCTCCATTCAATCACATTTGTATGTATATTTGCCCAATAATTTTTTTTTAAACTGTAATGCTCTATATGGCCTTTAAATTAATGCCAAGAGATAGTGGTAGTGATGGTATAGATATAAACAGGCTATCAAAATGCAATCAAAGTTATTAATTGAGCCCAAAATGGCACTTATTTGGCTGCTCACCACAAAGACAAGGACCCCCTTCCACCAGGAGAGAACATCCAAGTAAGAAATCCAAGTGTAACAGGTCAAAGACAATCCTTTATTTTTGTCTCTCAAGAAAGCCAGCAGGACCTTTGAAAGACCATCATATGTGTATACATACACGATATTGCCAAAAGTATTGGGCCAGCCCTCCAAATCATTGGATTCAGGTGTTCCAATCACCTCCATGGTCACAGGTGTATAAAATCAAGCACCTAGGCATGCAGACTGCTTCTACAAACATTTGTGTAAGAATGGGTCGCTCTCAGGAGCTCAGTGAATTCAAGCGTGGTACCGTGATAGGTTGTCGCCTGTGCAATAAGTCCATCCGTGACATTTCTTTGTTACTAAATATTCCACAGACAGCTGTTAGTGGGATTATAACAATGTGGAAGCAACTGGGAACAACAGCAACTCAGCAACGAAGTGGTAGGCCAATAAAATGACAGAGCGGGGTCAGCACATGCTGAAGCGCACAGTGCGCAGAAGTCGCCAACTGTCTGCAGACTCAATAGCTAAAGACTTCCAAACTTTGTGTGGCCTTCAGATTAGCACAACAACAGTGCATAGAGAGCTTCATGGAATGGGTTTCCATGGTCAAGCAGCTGCATCTAAGCCTTATATCACCAAGTGTAATGCAAAGCGTTGGATACAGTGGTGTAAAGCACGCTGCCACTGGACTCTAGAGCAGTGGAGACATGTTCTCTGGAGTGATGAATCACGCTTCTCTGTCTGGCAATCTGATGGATGTGTCTGGGTTTGGCGTTTGCCATGAGAACGGCTGTCAGGAGTCGGTACAGGAGATGACCAGATATATATAGCCACACATAGAAACTGGGATCAGACCATACGCATATATCTTTAAAGTGAGCTTTATTTGGCACTGAAGTCTTGGGAGGAGAGACTGTGGAAGATGAAACAAAAGTTTGGACTCTGGAGCCTCAGAGAACTTACCATCGAAGAGAAGACACTGGTACTCCGCAGCGAGATTCTCCCTGTGTTGCAGTACCTCGCCCAGGCCTGGCCCCCATGGGTCAACACCTGCAAGGGTTTCAGCGCACCCTGAAAACCCATCTCTTCAGGGAAGCCTACCCCGCCCTCACCTAACAGCCGATCTCCTCCACTCTTCCTACCACTCCATCCCCCACAGCCATTTCCTCCTGTACCACTATCCCCTCCCTCCTAGATTGTAAGCTCCAAGGAGCAGGGCCCTCGAACCCCTCGTGTATTGTTTTGTTACTGTATTGTATCATGTACTGTCCCCCACTATATTGTACAGCGCTGAGCAAACGTTTTGGCGCTATATAAATACTGTATAATAATGATAATTTACAGTGCACCATATACACACACCAACAGCAATAAACATGAAAACACATGAAAATCAAAACTGAACAACCAAAATGCAGAAACCTAACCACTAACTAAATATACAAATATGTGCAAGGGGGAATCTTGCCGAGCAGGGGGAACCCTGGGGAAGCAGATAGGAAGGAGGGAAACAAAACTGAGAAGGACTAACACAGCAAGGTAACAGGGAATTTGATACAGGGCAAATCAAGAGCTATTTGGCAACAGAGTCTGGTAGCAGCATGACTAATAGGTTTGAAGACAGAATCAGCCAAAACACTGACTCAAAGGGCCATAGCTGAAGTGGAATTTAAGTACCCTACCAGCAGGTGTGTCCAGGTGGAGCAGATTGCTAACAGACACCTGCTGACTGCTGGTGGACACAAACTGCAGCTTTGTACCCAGGGAAGCTCAGTGCCACCAGCAGGAGAAACAGGTCGTGACAGCGGTACTTGCCTGATTGTATTGTGACAAGTGTAAAGCTTGGTGGAGGGGGGATTACAGTCTGGGGTTGTCTTTCAGGGGTTACGTTTGACCCCTCAGTTCCAGTGAAGAGGAACTCTTAATCCATCATCATTCCATGACATTTTGGACAATTTCATGCTCCCAACTTTGTGGGAACAGTTTGGGGATGGCCCCTTCCTGTTCCAACATGACTGCGCACCAGTACACAAAGCAAGGTCCATAAAGACATGGATGAGCGAGTTTGGGGTGGAGGAACTTGACTGTCCTGCACAGAGTTTTGACCTCAACCCAAAAGAACACCTTTGGGATGAATTTGTGCAGAGACTGTGAGCCAGACCTTCTTGTTCAACATTGCCTGACCTCACAAATGTGCTTCTCGAATAATGGTCAAACATTCCCATCGACACAGACACTAAAGCTTGTGGACAGCCTTCCCAGAAGAGTTGAAGCTGTTATAGCTGTAGAGGGTGGGCCAACTCAATATTGAAACCTACAGACTAAGACTGGAATACCATTAAAGTTCATGTGCTGTGTAAAGACTGGTGTCCCAATACTTTTGGTAATATAGTGTACAGTTTAATCTGTGGGTTTTAGTGTGAAATGTGACTTCCTTTTACTCTTATTGCACGTGTGTGTATATATATATATATATATATATATATATATAAATGTTTTTTTTTTTTCTTGTTTAGTTTCTTTTGAGTCTGCTAGGTTCATCATATAGAATTTCTTTTCTCTTCAATGGACATGTCATTATTATTTGTTTATTTTTCTTTTATACATGTAGTAGCAATTTTTATACTAGCAATTCTGCTTTATTACCATTTTTTATGTGTGTTGTTTTCAACTTCTCCAGCCATGATGAAAAGGGACTATGTGACCCCGAAACATGTTGGTTGTCTTTTGCCTTTTTTTTGGTAACCACAAAAACAATATACTTTGAACCAGGTTTGCCAACTGTTAGAAAATTTATGGACAGTATGTAAGAATCAGTGATTGTTACAACTGTCTGTAAATATCAGGGGCTAATAATTTGTCATGCTGTGTTGACTTTTGTAAATGTAAACCAGTCAAATTACTTTGTATGGGCATTGTCAGTTTTTCCATATTGTGTTTATACTGTTTAAATATTGATTGTTGTCATTTTTAATTTAATTTTTTTCAGGTTGTCAGTAAAAAATGTGCTCCATCACTAAATTTTCCATGTTTTGTTAGTAAAAAATGCTGCAGGAGGAAGGCAACACTGCTAAGGATTTTTCATTTGGTATATTCAAATTAAGATCAACACACTTAGAAGGGCCAAAAAAGAGCTTTTGGTTGAATCAGTCCCTTCACTTTAAAAATGGGACAGCGCAGAGCAGCCATAGTGTCAGTGAATTGGAAGCTGCAGTAGGGAAAACTGCCAAACTGAATAAAGAGAGATTAGAGTCAATTAACAAACTGTATTTTAATTCTAATTGCTAGCTCCTTGGGTCGCCTTTGCTGCTTTTCTTTTGTTATTATTGGGAGAGTTTGTTTTTTTTATCTTATTTTTTGGTTGATTTGAGGTCAGCTGTGGTCCTGTCAATAAATGTCAAATAAAAAAACAAAAGTTTTAGATCAATGTGCTGCTGCTGCTGTATGTAAGAAAAGCTAATTGTAGAAAACAAAAAAAAAATCCACAGCCAAATATATGCTGCCAGTGTAAGCTGTCATTGAAACTTCATGGGAAAATCGTAATGTTCTGTAATGCCTCATACAGCTTATAGCGAAAGTAAACCGCCAGAAAAAAAAAGTCCCCTGCAAAATATTGTCATAATGTGCTAGTATGTATCGCATACTAGCATATTAGGAAAGATTTACCTGAGATTGAAGCCCTCCAGTGGCCTGCTGTTACTACTGACAGGGATTCCTTTTTCACCCAGTCATCCTTTCCGGGTTTGTGGGCTCTGACTTCTTGATTGGCCGAGCCGCGATGACATCATTCCTGGTCATACATGCGTGAGTCTCATCCGCAGCACAGAGCTCTAAAGGAACAGCTTGGGTATGCCATTCCTTCAGAGCACATGCACGGTGACAATGCATATTTAGGAGATATTCCTTGTACCTACAGGTAAGTTTTAGTATAAGCTTACCTGTAGGTACAAGTGTCCAGTGGGAATTTACTTCCATTTTAAAGACATTCCCCTGTTATTTAAAGCAGTGTTTCTCAACCTTTTTTCAGTCAAGGCACCCTTTAAAATTATGGACAGTCCCGAGGTACCCTTTAAAAATGATGGACAGTCTTCAGGTACCCCATTCTACAATATGAAAAACTATTCTAATAGTTTAATATAACGCAGCAACTTCCACACATGTAGGACACCCAACATCAGAGGTGATTTTATTCTTTCAAAGCAAATACACTTTCGCACACTGGTACTGACTAGTATTCCAGAGTTTCTCTTCTCCCTCAGTTTTTCTCCATCACTGAGCACTGATGGAAAGGAGCAGGGGAGGGTTAAACTAGGGTGCTGTGCAGGCAGCTGACATCCTCCTTATCAACTGATGATATCAATGGTTGTCAGGACACCTGCGGCTAGAAGATCATAATGGTGCACTATGAAAATCTGTGGCTTTGTGTAACTAAAAGGCAGGCTTGTTCCACCCACTGGCTTGTATACAAGTTTTGGGCAATTTTTTAGACATTTTGCCAAGGCAGCCCTGAAGAAACCTCAAGGCACCCTGGTTGAGAAAGGCTGATTTAAAGTATTCATGTATTTTCAATATTGCCCTCAAATCTGCATGAAAAGACCCTCTCTCTTCTGTACAATTTTTTTTTATATTGGTGTACAGTACTGTATATTCCCAATGGCAAAGCTTAGCTTTCTATGCCTTTTTTTGTCAGTAGTTTGCCTATTTGACCTAAAAATAGTCAGAATTTACCAACAAGTTTTGCCCCCACTATCCCCTCTAATGGGTTTTGCCTCTAAGTTTGGGTTTAATGAATTTCAAACAAGATTCACCAAACACCTGTTGAATTGAACCAAGACAGATTCACCTATCACTATACAATTTATGAATCCCACATGCCAGAAGTGAATTTTTCCCCGGGATCTGACATTTATGTAATGTTTGCTTTGACACAGTGTTCCGTTTCACTTTTATCAGTTACTTTTTCATTGAAGTGGAATCTACTCTCTGATTTATGTACCTTTCACATTCACTCTTCATACTGAATGTTCTATCTATCATACTTAAAAGCTAGCCGAGAAAAAAAGCCTGTGCAACATAGTTAATTCCTTTAGCCACAGAGAAGTAATAATATCCATCAACATGACAAATCTCATATTACCTAGTCCTTCAAAGTACCTTATGTGCTAAATTAGAAACATTATATTTTATATGTTGGTCTGTCTCTTTTAGCTGTTTACATATTCACTTTGAATGCTTTCAGGTCCTGAAGAGGTCATAATCTTAGTTTTAAGTGCAGTAACTTGTAGCAACCAACCAAAATTCATTTTTCAATTATCTAAATTCAGGAATCAAACTTCAAAGCTTGTTATGGCTATAGATGACCATATACTTTAGGGGGCATTCAAATCTGCTGGCACAGTCATACTGGCTTAATGTTAACATATCTTCAGAGTGTTGCAGAGTTCCCGTACAAACCTCATAACCAGTCTACAGTGGAGCAGGGGCGGACTGACCATTTGGAAACTTGGGCACTGCCCGAGGGCCCGGGGTCAGTAGGGGGCACCATGAGATGCCCTGGTACCTTTTTCATAGGCTTTTTTGAGTTTGGGCAAGGACACAGGGGCCCCATTATCCCCTATTGCCCGGGAACCCCATGAGTTGTCAGTCCGCCCCTGCAGTGGAGTGTGCTTAGCTAAACTCACACATATACACTCACTGACCACTTTATTTGTAAGGGACCGCCCGGCGGTACCACTAGCACTCCACTGACCGGATGTTCCCAGCACACGGAGTCTAAGCCCCAGAGTACTTGTTCACCAGGGCCCCTGATGGTGGGGATGGACTTGGAGTACCCCAGGACCAGGTCGTGACTACTGAGGACACCCGTCAGTGGTAGGGGCATTCGCCAGGGGCTCCCACGGGAGAGAGCCAGGTATGAGGAGGTCTGGAGACCCCGTAGAGAGGGATGGATGGATGGATGGCTGAGCAGGTGCAGGGTCATACAAGCCGGGTCGGTAACTATGGGGACGGTGCGGTACAGAGCAGCGGGCAAAGAATAGTCGGGTCACACGCCAGGTCAGCAACAGCAGGTCAGATCCAATAGGGGGCATTCAGGAGAGAGGTCAGGCAAGCAAGGGTCAAGAACAGGAGAAAACAGCAAGGTCAGGGCACAATCCGGGTCAGCAACTTACTTTAAACAGGTTCACAGGATACAAGAGACCAAAAGGCACTGAATGACAGCTCAGGGCCGTTTAAATATCCCGCCCTGCACTGTCATTGGTGCCAGGCGCGCGCCCGTGGTCACTACTGCGCATGCGCGAACCTGATTGCCGCGGTCGGCCAAGTCCCGGCGCTCGCGTACAGGGAGGTGTACTGCGCCTGCGCCGAGCCCAGCGGCGCGGCGATCGCCGACATTGCCCCCCCCCCCTACGGGCAACCTCCGGATGCCCACCCGATCTCTCCACCACGGGTGATCACGAAGAAACTCCCGGACTAGTCTAGGTGCGTGGACATTATGAGCTGGTTCCCAGGAATTGTCCTCAGGACCATAGCCCTTCCACTTAATTAGGAATTGGGTCTGGCCCCCCCTTCTTCGGCACTTAAGGATCGTTTCCACCTCAAATTCCTCTTGTCCTTCGACCGTTATGGCCTCTGGGGGTCTGGATTCTCGTTCTGGGAAGGCATCTGGGATCACTGGCTTCAGCAGGGATACATGGAAGACTGGATGAATTCTGAACGTGTCCGGAAGGATAAGCTCATATGCCACTTCGTTGACCATCCGCTTTACCTGAAAAGGCCCCACAAATTTAGGTCCCAATTTTTTCGAGGGACAAAGCATCTTTAAGTTGGTTGTGGCCAACCACACCTTCTGCCCAGGCCGCAACGCCAAATCCCCTCTTCGTTTCTTGTTAAACTCCTTCTTATTGTCCTCTTGGGCCCGAGCGATGGCTTCCTGGAGTAATTTGTTATTGACGGAGAAGAAGGTCAACGCATCCTGCGTTGCTGGAACTGGGCATTCAGAGACCAAATCAGGGAGAAAGACAGGGTGAAACCCATAATTCGGAAAGAATGGGGACTGCCCCGTTGCCGAATGGCTTGCGTTGTTATAAGCGAACTCCGCCAGGGGTAAGAGTGACAACCAATCATCCTGCAGGAAAGACGTGTAGCAACGCAAGTATTGCTCCAGGGTCTGATTCGTCCTCTCGGTCTGACCGTTGGTCTGAGGGTGGAACGCGGAGGAGAGGGACAACTTGATGTCCAGGGCCTTGCACAGAGCCCTCCAAAACTTAGATGTAAACTGGACCCCTCGATCAGAGACGATGTCCTCAGGTACTCCATGAAGTCTAACGATCTCCCGGATAAATATTCGCGCCGTCTCGGCTGCTGACGGAGTCTTCCTTAGTGGCACGAAGTGAGCCATTTTGGATAGGCGATCAATGACCACCAGAATTGCTGTGTGGTCTTGCGACGGTGGGAGCTCGACTACATTATTAGGTACACCTTGCTAGTGCCAAGAAAATATCTCCCACACCATTACACCACCAGCAGCAGCCTAAAACGTTGATATAGCAGGATGGATCCATGCTTTCATCTTGCTTACGCCAAATTCTGTCCTTACCATCTGAATGTTGCAGAAACTAGTCTGCCCATTCTCCTTCGACCTCTGACATCAACAAGGCATTTTCATCCACATAACTGCCACTCACTACATATTTTCTCTTTTTCGAACCATTCTCCGTAAATCCTGGAGATGGTTGTGCATGAAAATCCCAGTAGATCAGCAGTTTTTGAAATACTCAGATCAGCCATTCTGGCACGAACAACCATGCCAGTTTCAAAGTCACTTAAATCCTCTTTCTTCCCCCATTCTGATGCTCAGTTTGAACTTCAGCAAGTTGTCTTCACCACGTCTACATGCCTAAATGCATTGAGTTGCTGCCATGTGATTGGCTGATTAGCAATTTGTGTTAACAATTAAACAGGTATACCTAATAAAGTGGCCAGTGAGTGTAGATGGGTTATATGAGATTTGCGTAGTGTATCCACTAGTATGAGACTACAGTAAACAGTTGTCTTAGAAGTACAGTTGGAGTGCTGGATTTTTTCTATGCTTAGATCTGCAGGGTGTCTCCATTTTAGTCAATCAGCCACCTCTACAGACAATTATATGAGTTTGGTAGCTATATCTACTGAAATGGGACTTCAGTAAACAGTCATCTTGGATGTTCAGTTGGAGTGCTGGCATTTTTCTGTCCCTGTTTAGCCAAGTGGCAACCCTTATAGACAGGTTATATAAAGCTTGTATTGGATTATCTACGGATATGGGACTTCAGTAAACAGGCATCTTGGAAGTTCAGTTTAAGTGCTAGTTGCTTTTTTCTGTTTGGATTTGCACAGTATTACCGTTTAGACAAGCACCCACCCTTATAGAAGGGTGTCATGAGGTTTGTTTGGGTGTATCTACCATTATGGGACTTCACAAAATGGTCATCTTGGAGGTTTTTTGACCTGCCCAGTCACTTGCTTTCCCTGACTATCTGGCAGTACCTGGTGTCACTCATAGATTATAGATCACCAACAACCGTTTTCACTGTCCTACTAAATAAACCTTCTGGTGTTTCTATGCCAAACCATTGTGGGTTACTGCGTGGTCATCAGACTGCCTGATTTTGGAATTGACCATTCCCTTCAAACAGTGGGGGGAGGCTTACTTTTGCAGCAAAATGTATATTAATAATATAAATGTGTGTATGTGTACAAAAAAAAAAAATTATATTTATATATATATATATATATAGAGAGAGAGAGAGAGAGACAGAGAGATTGTGTAAGGGACCACCAGGCGGTACCACTAGCACTCCACTGGCCAGGCGTCCCCAGCGCACGGTATCTAAGCCCCAGGGTACGTGTTCACCAGAGCCCATGATGGTGGGGATGGACTTGAAGTACCCCGAGACCAGGTCGTGGCTACTGAGCACGCCTGTCAGTGGTAGCGGTATTCGCCAGGGGCTCCCGCAGGGAAGAGCCTGATGTGAGGTCGGGTGATCCCGTCGGGATGGATGGATGGCTGAGCAAGTGCGGGGTCAAACGGGCCGGTCGGTAACAGTGGGGACGGAGCAGTACAAGGCAGCGGGCAGAGAGTAGTCGGGTCACACGCCAGGTCAGCAACGGAAGGTCAGATCCAAACGGGGGCATTCAGGAGAGAGGTCAGGCAAAGCAAGGGTCTGGGCAGGAGAAGGCAACAAGGTCAGGTACAATCCGGGTCAATAACTTACTTAGAACAGGTTCGCAGATACAGGATACAAGGAAAGACCAGAAGGCACTGAATGACAGCTCAGGGCCGTTTAAATATCCTGCCCTGCCATTGGTGCCGCGCGCTGAAGCGCCCGGGAATGTGGCCCCCGCGGTCCCTACTGCGCATGGCGCGAACTCCCTCGCCGCGGACGGCCAGGTCTCAGTGCCCGCATTCTGACACGGGGCAGTGCACTGCGCTGAGCCCGTCGCAGCGGGGATTCCTGACATTGCCCCCCCCCCCTACGGGCAACCTCCGGGTGCCCACCCGATCTCTCCACCACGGGTGATCACGAAGGAACCTCCGGACAAGTCGGGGTGCATGGACATTATGGGCTGGTTCCCATGAATTATCCTCAGGGCCATAGCCCTTCCATTTAATAAAAAATTGGGTCTGACCCCCCCTCCTTCGGCACTTCAGGATTGTTTCCACCTCAAATTCTTCTTCTCCTTCGACCGTTATGGCCTCCGGAGGTCAAGATTCTCGTTCTGGGAAGGCATTGGGGATTACTGGTTTCAGCAAGGACACATAGAAGACCGGGTGTATCTTGAGTGTGTCGGGAGGACAAGTTCGTATGCCACCTCATTGACCGCCCGCTTTATGCAAAAGGGGCCTATGAACTTTGGTCCTAATTTCTTTGATGGACATAGCATTTTCAAGTTCGTTGTTGCCAACCACACTTTATCCTCGGGGCTGCAGCACCAGGTCCCCTCTTCGTCTTTTGTTAAACGCCTTCTTGTAGTCCTCCTGGGCCCGAGCAATAGCCTCCTGTAGTATCTTATTGCTGGAGGAGAAGAAAGCTAGCGTGTCCTGTGTCGCCGGAACTGGGCATTCAGGGACCAAGTCAGGGAGAAAGACAGGGTGAAATCCGTAGTTTGAAAAAAACGGTGATTGCCCTTTGCGGAATGGTTGGCATTGTTGTACGCGAACTCCGCCAGGGGTAGGAGTGGTAGCCAATTATCCTGTAGGAAGGATGTGTAGCAACGCAGGTACTGTTCTAGGGTCTGGTTGGTCCTCTCGGTCTGTCCATTGGTCTGGGAGTGGAACGCCGAGGAGAGGGATAATTTAATATCCAAGGCCTTACACACAGTGCCCTCCAAAATTTAGACGTGAATTGGACCCCTCGATCCGAGACGATGTCCTCCGGGATTCCATGTAGTCTTACAACTTCCTGGATAAAAATTCGCGCAGTCTCGGCTGCTGACTGAGTCTTCTTTAACGGTAAAAAGTGAGCCATTTTCGATAACCGATCAATGACTACGAGGATCGCGGTGTGGTCTTGAGACGGGGGGAGCTCGACTATAAAGTCCATTGCGATCCTTTGCCAAGGTCGTTCGGGGATCGGCGAGGGCCGCAGCAGCCCCCAGGCCTTGTTCCTCGATGGCTTGTTCTTCTGACAG